CTGGGGACTGGCCGTGGCAGCAGCTCTTCCAGAAAAGGCAGCTCCGTGGCCAACCAGGCCAGGGAGGAGGGGACAGCCACTCGTTCCTTTCAGGAAGGGACACAGCCCACGGACCAAGCAGTTCTGCTGGGGATCTCTGTGTGAGTCCTGGCCCTGCAGGCGGGTGTGTTAGGGGACGCATCACGCACCTGCCCTGGGGAAAGGGGGTGAAGCCAGGCCCTCAAGCAGCTGCAATAGAGCCGGAGGAGTAAGGGACCCACAAGAGCCACTCACTCGGAATGCGCGTAAAGTCAGGTTTGGGAGACAAGACGCACACACATCTGAGATGTGACTCAAAGTCATTCAAGAGGAGAGCATGCCTTTACCCTGCGGCGCGGGTTCCCGGGAGGGAGTCGTCGGTGCCTGGGCATGGGCCCAGGAAGAGGCTGGCTGTGAGCCAGGTGTGGGATGGAGCAGAGGGCGGAGAGAGGAAGGAAAGGGTGTGGGCTCTGCAGGGCGGGAAGAGGGGCTGGAGAGGGGCTTGGAGATCTGGAAAGAAGCTACGGTGACTCCTCAGCAGACGTCAAACTCCCTGAGCGCACCAGGGAGCAGAGGGTCGCCCTTTGTATCTCGGACATCAGCTGCAGTGGGCAGTGAGCCCCTCAGGGCAGGGACCACGCATTTCCTGCTCTGTGCTCTTGTCCTCGTCTAAAGAAGGCCTTGTTTTCAGAGCCTAAAGAAGGCCGGACACTAGCCCTTCGTATTTATTGACGAGATGAAAGGGAGAGAAGCCAGCACAATTGGGGTGACCAAAGAGAAGAGACTCAAAGGGGTGCGGTCACCTTTCACAAAGAGAACAAGGATGGAGCACTTGTGGGTTCCTGGGGGGATGGAACGAGAACGGGGCTGCAGGACGGGAGCTTGGAGAGGTTAGTGGTGAGCAGGAGGCAGACGGTACCTGGAGGGGAGGGGAGGGAGGGCAGGCAGGACGGGGAGAGGTCCCTGTCTGCACACACTTGAGGAAGGGGAGGGATCAGAGGGAGGCAGAGGCTGAGATGGCTGAGCCTGGGAAGGCGGAGACAGACAACCTGTGAGTGCAGGTGGGAATCCTGACTTGGGGACAGGGAGGGAGAGAAGGAGAAGACGGGTTAGCTCCCAGAGGGCCTCTGCTCTCTCATGGAGAGGCAAACCTGTCTTCTGAGGTAGGGGATTTTGGAAAAGGAGATGAACAGAGAACCTCAAGACCAAGGAGCCTTCTCAGGGGCCTGGGGAAGGGCTGAAGCATGACCGCTGACAGCAGCCTGCGTTCCAGCCCCGCACCACACAGCTATGGCAGCCCCAGGGCGGCCACAAGGCGGACAAAGGTAGCCACGGGCCCAACGTTGCTACACACACCTCGAATTCTCCCCAGTGACCCATCTAGACCGCCCTGGGTGTCTGATTCCGTAGGATCTGTCCCCAAACTGGCTGTGTGACAAGGAGAGATGGATCCATTTCCAGATGCTTCTGAGAACCAGGGGCTTTAAATAACAGTGAGGGGGCTCGCTGGCCTTGGATTCTGGGTACGTGCCCCGACAGGAGCACCTTCGCTCGGCCCTCAGAGCGCCTGGGAAGGCTGGATACACGGAGAAAAGACAGTGTCGAACGCAGAGCCCTTGCTGGGATGAGGGCGAGGGGACCAGGCATCTGATAAGGGAGTGTACGAGGCGATCTCTCAATACCCCGGCAGCCCTGACATGCTACGAAAAATGCTGCGGCCCCGACTGAAGACAGATAGGCAGTGAGGCGCCAGCAGAGGAGCAGCATCCCATCCAGGGAGGTCCCACCACAGTGATAAACACACGTGCAGGGAATGGAAAGCGCTCTGGTGCTAAATCCTTCCCCAGGGGCGTGCGGAAGTGGGGCCTCAAGTCAGGCAGCTCTATGCCCTTGCGATTTCTTCCCACATGACACTGTTCGTTTTTGCTGTTTTTTAGTGAGATAAAATTGGTATTGCGGCACTATATTAGTATCAGGTATACACGTAACAATTCGGTATTTGTTTACCCTACAAAGGGGTCACCACAGTAAGCTGAGTTACCAACTGTCCCCCTTTACCCACGTCAGCCAAACCCCAAGCCCGTCCCCTGTAAACACCAATCATAATAGATGAGGAAGGGGTCCGATGAGAGAGCCCGGGGACCCCAGAGGGACCTGCAATACAGGCACCTCCCCACCCTTAGTCCTGCTTCCTGTGTCCCCTGGCCGAGTGGCCCCTGGCCGAACTGAGCGTCGGAGATGCCCTCTGCGTACTCATCGCCAAGGCGCGTGCGGCTTCATCGTTTATGACAGCGCCTCATCGCAGACGGCGCGGTGTCTCGCAGTCACTTCCCTGGACGGATGGGGCCTCTGACATCAGAGGCCTGCGCGTCTCGGGGAGGGAGGGCAGTGCCCCCAGCCCACCCGAGGCAGCCCGCATGCGGAGGGTCTCGCAGTCACTTCCCTGGATGGATGGAGCCTCTGACATCAGAGGCCTGCACGTCTCGGGGAGGGAGGGCAGTGCCCCCAGCCCACCCGAGGCAGCCCGGCCATGCGGAGGGAGGAGCAGCTGCACCGCTGGCATGGCGTCGCGCAGGGTCTGTCGTTGCCACACATTTTCTGAAAACCAGTAAGGGCCATCCGCTGTCTACTGACGGGACAAACGGGACAAACGTGCCGCCTCGCTGGGAAGAGCCCTTTCCCTGACGGCAGGGGTCTGACAACCGGGAGCCGCCTCCCATGTTTCCAGGAGGTACTACTTGTTCCCTGTCCCCTCAGGTCTGCCAGCGCCTGCTGCCCCGGTCGCCACGGCCCGTCCTTCACACAAGGCCTGACCTGTCGGGTCCTTGAGGGCCCCTGGCATCCCACACCCGAAGGCCTTCCTCCCACGGGTGCCTCGGCGAACACCCTTGCCTGGGTGCAGGGGCCTGACATCACAGGACACGCAAATCCCACACTCCCCCCGGGGTCTCCGCTGTCACTGAGACTTCTTTCCCACGAGGCAGATGCACCCCGCTGGGCCACTGTGCCGACAGCCGGGTATCGGGCGCTCACACGAGCACAGACTTGACCCAGAGGAGAGCCCAGAGCGTCCACGGAAGGACAGAGTCCATCCTCAGCATCCCTGGGTCTGTGTCATGCTCCCTAAAATGCATGTGTAACCCCAAGCCAACATTGGCAGCATTGTCATGGTCACGGTCATTCACAAACAGGCAAGGGGGAGGGGGCTAAATGTTTGACTCACCCCCCACACACACACACACAAAACCAGCTGAGACCAAATAAACCTTCTATGTGTGTCCCACGTGCACAGAGTCTAAATGCTGGCTATGTTCCTGAGAGCAAGAAGCTGGGGTGCCTTACGGAGCGAATAGGGGTGTTAGGTAGGACTCCTGCGTTAGGGAAGCTGACCCTGAGGGCAATGTTAGTGACGCAACAGTACCTGTTAAATAAGAAGTCTTCGAGCGGAAGCGTGCACGAAGCAGGCCGGGTCCTGACCAGCCGAGGACTCTGCGGGGGCCAGGGGCTGGCAGGAACCTGACCCCGCATTTCCTCGAGGAGCAATGGCTCCGCGGGCCTAAGGCAGTGCTCACGGGGACATTATGGAACATAACTACTGCGAATAGCGAGAATCAAGTGCAGCCTCCACACACAACGCCTGCAATGCCATTCTAGAAAACGCAACGACGTCAACCGAGACGGGTGTCCCATGGTACAACCACAGAAGGCCTTCCTTGGGCCACACCCGGGGCCGGCCAGGGCGAACCTGACCTGAGCAAGTGGCCTGTGCACTGAGTGCCCCCCTCTGCATCTGAATCACGGGTCTTTCCTCCCCTGCCCGGAACCCAGGTCCTTCCTCTAACCACGCTGACAGGGGCTCCGACAAACCCCGATGCTGGAGGACACCCACGGGGGAACGAGAGCCCCGTCCTGACTCAAGCCCAGTCCTCCCACCCGTGATGCTCTCGCTGAAGTCAGAAGAGCAGAAGCAGAGCCGATGGGGAAGCCAAGTGCCCGCTCCGCTGTAAGACGGACAGGGGAGCAGCGACAGCTCTGGGAGCTACAAAGAGTGGGGCCCAACAGAGAGCTTGGACGGAGGAGGGAGACCAGGCACCCGCTCCCAGGCCGGCCCTAGCACCAGGTGAGATTGACAGCCAACGGCAGAAGCCTGGGGCAGAGCAGGGGAGCCCACAGCCCGCCAGAACCTCGGTTTTCCTGTCCTCCCAGGAGGCCTTACCCTGGCCCATCTCTGTCCCTTCCAGCTCTGAGGCAGTCTCCAGGGCCTGTGCTCCCTTGGGAAGTGGCTGACATTGGGGGGCAGGAGCGCGGGAGAGGAGGGTGCACTGCAGTTGCTAGGTGGACTGAACCTGGGGACCCGGCCAGGGGAACAGCTGCTGGCTGAACGGCCAAGCCAGAGGCCCTGAGAGTGGGAGAGGCTCCAGCAGAAATACAGAGTAAGGAGCTGGGACCAACAGAGGGGGAGAGGCCAGAATGGAGCAGGGGCCTGAGCCCTGACCTGAGTGAGACCCTGCAGGGGCGTAGGGACATGGGGGTCCTAGCGCCGTGGCCATGGGACCCTCAGGGAGTGGGCACTGCGGGCACTGGAGGGGCAGCTGCCAATATGTCCCCATTCAAATGGTGCTTGGCGCCCTTCACTCCCTCCCATGGAGGCTGGGGTGGCGGGTCTGCCCACCTCAGGGGCTGAAGGCAGGGCAGAGTCGGGGCACAGGCCAGGTCTACAGAGAAGCCCGGCCGGTCTGCACCTCCTGCCTCACTGGGAGCACTTTCCTGAGGGGCTGGGTCCTGCCTCCGGCTGCTCCCGGGGCTCTGCCTGTGCCGTCCTCCGGGCCAGGCTACTCTTCAGGTTTTGAGACAAACAGGGAGGGCCTCTTAGAGAAGGGGAGGTGAGGAGGTAGCAGGTCATCCCAGAAGGTTCCAGAACCCCAGCCTCATGGCCTATCTCCCCCACCCCCGAAGGGACAGCATTGCACCCCAGTACTCACATGTGTCGGGGTTGTGGCAGTTGTGCCCCTGACGGAAGTACTGGGGGTTCTCGATGACCGGGATGCGGGTCATGCCGATGACCACCGTGTCGGGCCCAGCGTCCAGCGACGAGGGCGTGGTGATGCCGTGGTTGATGTGGTGCAGCGGGCTGGCCGAGTCCTCCTCCCCGCTGATGACAGCCACGGGACCTGCAGGCGGAGAGACCAGGGCTGGTGACGCCAGGGGGCAGGGCCCGGCCTTGCCCACGCGCCCTCTCACTATTTTTGCTCCCACATTTTCCAAAGGCCCAAAACCCACGGGAAGGACATTCCCAGATGCCTGGATTCTGAATTCAGAGGACCAAACTCTGCCTCTCCTTCATGAGAGAAAAATACGCCAAATCACACCATAAATAAACCAGTGAACCGAAATGACTACAACGTAAATTATGTTCACTTTCCCCAAACCCAGATTAGTTTGAAATAATAAGTTTCTTTGCTTATGTAGCAACAGTAGGATTTTTTTTTTTTTTTTAAAAAAGACCTAGCAGAAGTTTGCACGCTGCCCCTTCTCCCTTTAGGAACTTGAAGAACTGCCCGGGCCGGGTCCCACCCCAAAGAGTCTGAGTCCAGGGGTCTGGGCTGCAGCCGGGCGCCTGGATTAAAAGTTCTCCTGTGAGTGCCCTGCACACCTGAGATCTAGGACCTCGGCGAGGGCCTTGGGGGCTGAGCGCCTCTGCTATGTGCCCCCCGGTGCCTAAGGAGTAGGACAATTTGCACTGGGCCCTGCCACCCGCTGTGCCCAGTCCGTGGGCAGACAACCCGGTGTGCGCCTGGGTCTAGTCGGAACCAGCTTGTACGGGTGACAGTAATTAGGCTCCATCACCATTACCCACAGGCCCCTGGGCCCCTGTCCCGCTCTTGCAGGATGCACACTCCTGATGGCTTCAGAGAACACCGCGTGCGTCTCCATCACCCCAACGCCTCCCTTTTCTGACCCCAGGAGAAACCCAGGAGGTAAGGCTATTTACAAACACAGGCTGACAAAGACATTGAATGCAGGGCTCAATCATGGCGGGGTGGAGCCATGATTCTGTTTGCCGGTGCGACTGTCCCATAGATAGAAGTAAAAGCCCCGTAAAGTGAATTAGCTGCGACTCTGTGGCTTCGTGCCACCCGCGTGTTAAATGGCTGCTCTGCAAGACACATGGTCCCAAGACAAAGCGCCTGCTGGGATGCGGTTTGGCGGCTCGAACAATATTTCCGCTGCGGAGCCCATTACATCGCCCTCAAGGTGATGAGGGGAAGGCTCCTCATCAAGCGCGAGGTGAGGCGCCAATGAGGCAGAACTAAATGGCGACGGCGACATGCACACGGGGACCCAGAATCCCCCCCTCCCTCCCCCTGGCACAGGCAGGCTGGTTCCAAGCCCTGACAAACGCCTGACAGGAAAGTGGCACTAAGCAGTGGCCCACACACTCGAAGTGATCGCTCGCCTTGTACAGAGAGGCCCGTTTCCGCAAACACCTTGTAAACTTCCTGGAAAACGGCACAGTGATTTCCAGTTGAACACAGACAGCTGAGCACCGGTCTTTGCCTTCCCTCTTCAATCTGAAGAAATTAAGCAAATATTTGTGCACAAACAGAAGGAAGAGGAGAGACAGGAGGAAATAAGAGACTTCAATGGCGTTTTGGAAGATAAGAAATCGAAGGAGGAAGCTTGCCAGAGAGGAGGGAGCTACTGAAGACTGGGCCAGCGGGACTGCAGGGGAATGTATACAGGAAGCCGGATCTGCCGTCAGGCTGGTTCCAAGCCCTGACAAACGCCTGACGGGGGAAGTGGCACTAGGCAGTGGCCCACACACTCGCAGTGATCGCTCGCCTTGCACAGAGAGGCCCGTTTCTGCAAACACCTTGTAAACTTTCTGGAAAACGTCACAGTGATTTCCAGTTGAACACAGACAGCTGAGCACCGGTCTTTGCCTTCCCTCTTCAATCTGAAGAAATTAAGCAAATATTTGTGCACAAACAGAAGGAAGAGGAGAGACAGGAGGAAATAAGAGACTTCAATGGCGTTTTGGAAGATAAGAAATCGAAGGAGGAAGCTTGCCAGAGAGGAGGGAGCTACTGAAGACTGGGCCAGCGGGACTGCAGGGGAATGTATACAGGAAGCCGGATCTGCCGTGGGAGCCCAGTGTCTGCAGGGATGGGGTGCCCAGAAGTCCGGGGCGAGAGTCCGGCTGCAACAGGTCTCCCAGGCAGCCATCACCTCGCCCCCTCCCACCGGAGCCAGCAGTTCAGTCCCACAGAAATTGAACCTGAACGGCTCAGAGGACGGGTGGGGTACAGCATGAAGCTGCACCCCTTCTTCCTGCTTCTGGAACGACAGAAACCAGGAATAACACTGCCCGCCCACCTGCCCGCCAGCCCACGCCCATCTCGCCTCACACCGCCCCCCGCAGGAGGTTAGAGAACCCTGTCTGGAGAAACAATGCCTCAAAAAAGACAGCGAGTTATTGACATTTAAGGGGGTCTCACAATGAAATCAAACTTATTTTTTAAAATATTTTTTCATTGATGTCAGAGAGGATGGGAAAGGGAGAGAGAGAAACATCAATGATGAGAGAGAATGATGGATCAGCTGCCTCCTGCAAGTCTCCCGCTGGGGATCAAGCCCACAACCCAGGCTTGTGCCTGGACTGGGAATCAAACAGGTTCACAGGTCGATGCTCAACCACTGAGCCACACTGGCCTTAGTGGAGCTGGGTAGTTGACAAGCCCCATCCATGCGCACAAAGCAAGATCTCATTCACTTTCTGGTGCCCGATGCCTAAGTCTGAATAAACAGCTCAGGACCAGCAGACACGGCAGCGGGGCATCGGCCTGGCAGAGCCTGGGGAGCTGGAGGGAACGGGCAGTGCCGGCAGCAGGAGGCTTTCCACAACATCACTAACATCCTCGGGGAGGTAAATGAAGGCACTGCCCCAGAAGACACGATGGCACTGAAAACGTGAACAATTAGAGTGTAAGAAAGAGTCCTTGGGCCCGGCCGGTGTGGCTCAGTGGCTGAGCATCGACCTATGAGCCAGGAGGTCACGGTTTGATCCCCGGTCAGGCAGGGCACATGCCCGGGTTGTGGGTTTGATCCCCCAGTAAGGAGCGTGCAGGAGGCAGCCGATCTATGATTCTCTCTTATCATTGATGATTCTATCTCCTTTTCCTTCTAATTTATCTATATAAAAGCCTAAATGACCATCACAACTGAATGGATGACCAAACAGGCTGCGTGGGGTGACCTGGCCTGGCAGGGGGGTTAGTGAGGGGCAACCAAATGACCGATCAGCAGCAGCAGGCTGCGTGGGGTGACCCGGCTGGCAGGGGTGTTCGTGAGG